GATTATTAAGTATGCAGCAAACAATTCAAGATGCTCAGGGTAATGTACAGATTTTTTAATTCATTAAAAACAACATTCCTTTTTACCTGAAAGCCGCTACTCTGCAAGAAAAGTGCTCCCTTGGGGCCGGCCCGGTGGCGCACTGGATAGTGCGCCGCTTGGGAAGCGCGGCGGCACTCCCGCCCGAGGGTTCGGATCCCACATACAGACCGGTTCCCGCTCACTGGCTGAGCGAGGCACGGGAGCAACGCCGAGGGTTGCGATCCCGTTGCCGGTCCCCGGTCCGGTATGGGGGCAACACTGAGGGTTGCGATCCGTTGCCGGACACGGAAAAAGACAAAAAGACAAAACAAACAAACAAAAAAAAAATGTGAAAAAAAACCCAAAAACCTATGTTTACATAAAAACCTGTGGGTGAATGTTTATGGCAGCTTTTATTCATAATCACTGAGAACTGGAAACAATCCAAACATCCTTCAACTAGAAAAGGGATAAACAGGGCCGCCCACGGCTCACTTGGGAGAGAGAGTGTGGTGCTGATAACACCAAGGCCACAGGTTCAGATCCCATATAGGGATGGCCAGTTAGCTCACCAGGTAAGCATGGTGCTGACAACACCAAGTCAAGGGTTAAGATCCCCTTACTGGTCATCTTTTAAATAGATAGATAAATGATAGAAAGAGAGAGAGAGAGAGAGAGACAGACAGACAGACAGACAGACAGACAGACAGACAGACAGACAGACAGACAGACAGACAGACAGACAGACAGACAGACAGACAGACAGACAGACAGACAGACAGACAGACAGACAGACAGACAGACAGACAGACAGACAGACAGACAGACAGACAGACAGACAGACAGACAGACAGACAGACAGACAGACAGACAGACAGACAGACAGATAGACAGACAGACAGACAGACAGACAGACAGACAGACAGACAGACAGACAGACAGACAAAAGAAAAGGGATAAACAAATTGTGGTACATCCATATAATAGAACACTACTCAGCAATAAAAAGAAGCAAAATATTTAAACATGCAACATCATGGACAAATCCCAAATGCATCTGGCCAAAAAACCAGACACAAAAGGCAAAACTTAAGGGACAAAGAACAGATCAAGTGGTTACCAAGGACTAGGGGTACAGAGGAAGTTTTGACTACAAAGGGTGCATGGAGAAAATCTGGGGATAATAGGCCTGTTCTACATCTCGATTATGGCAGCAGTTACAAGACTGTGTACATTTGCCAAAACTCACAGACATATACAGTAAAAAGGGTAAATTTTACTGTACATAAACTATACCTTAATAAAAAGAAAAGAAAAAACAGTAGTTAGTGACTCAAAGACACTGTATAAAGGAGATTATATTGATACGAGTTATTAAGGCATTTACCTTGCTTTTTGCTTAAAAAACTATAATTATCCACTCACATAACAAATGTTTATTTAGTAAACACTATAAGTCAGGCACCTGTTATTAAATTATCATTTGATTACTAAAATGCTGACTCTCAGTTGGGGGTGATTTGTCCTTTCTGGGCCTACATCAATTTCAAGATGCGTTCTTCACTCGTTGATACAGGAACATAACAAGATTCCTATATTTAATTAGCTAGTCTGGCCTAACAAGAGCTGTATGTAGATCAAGGAACAGCCCATGTTTACATTTACCCACCGTAGAAAGTTTTTCTAGTGTTTTGTTTGGGGTATTTTGTTGTTGTTGTTGTTATTGGCAGTTGGCTAGTAGAAAGCTTTTCTTTAAAAGAACTATTATAGAAGCTATCCCATAAAAAACCATCCAAAATACATTTTAACTAAAAGTGTCTTTTGAAACATGTAAACATATGATTATAGCAGCAAGTCTCAATACATAATTCTATGAATTACTTTATTGGCAAGCTAAATGCTAACAAAGTTGGTGTATGTCCAAACACACACATTTTTTAACAAATAAGAACCTGTTCACTAACCAGCATCACTATCAACTGTACAAATATATTTTGAAGCAATTAAGTCTTTATTCGTTCCATATCAAAACAGATTTTAGGTTGCAATTTTAAAACATTAAAATGGCAGTCAACTTAAATAAACCTAAAATAATTGTCCATTGTCTATGCATCTCTAATACTGCTATAATAAGCAAGATTGTTATAATAGACTTACAGAGGCTTGCAATTTGTTATATCAAATATTTCCTATAAAATATACCTTAAAATTGTTACTTTTATTTTGTTAATGGCTTACCCTGTATTAAATATTAACAATATTTCTAATGACAGCCTCTCAAAACTGTATAGAAGGTAGCACCAGAAATTCACAAATCTCTACTAAACAAAATTCAATCAAAAAAATGTATATTTGTGCTATCCTATTGGGAAAATGTATGAGAAACCTTACCCTATTTTTCTTAGGAAATTCTAATCTTTAGTCACATGCCACTTTCTAGTTATGATATTACAGGAGTACTTCAAAAAGTCTGTCTAAAAAATAAGAATTAAAAGATAATATTAATCTTTCCACATACTTTCTGAAGTATCCTTATATTCTTCATGTACATAGTTTTTTTAACACAAAGTACAAACCAAACAAACAAAAAAAATTATAAAGCTGGAGTTCCAGGGAAGAAAACAGCCAGAGGATTGGATCTGCCTTCCAATACGTAAGCCAATACTCACCTGTAGGGGGAGTGGAAGAAACAACAGGGGGAGTTGGAGAAGTGAAGCCATCAGCCAGGGTCTGGGCACCCCCAGCAGCAGCGTCTGGGGCAGTGGAGGAAGGGACAGTAGCAGGAGCAAGAGGGGCAGGGGCAGATGCAGAAGTAGCAGGAAGGGGAGGAGTGCCAGCAGAGCCAGCAGGGGCTAAGGGAAAAGAGGAGTAAGAGGCAGCATTAACGAGGCAGTCACATGAGGCAAGATCAGAAAAGGCATCAGAGTATTTAATGTTAGATATTCAGCACTAACCAAAAGAATAGAGAGTTGAAAAAAAAAATGAAGCTTATTTAAAGGATTATTAAGTATGCAGCAAACAATTCAAGATGCTCAGGGTAATGTACAGATTTTTTAATTCATTAAAAACAACATTCCTTTTTACCTGAAAGCCGCTACTCTGCAAGAAAAGTGCTCCCTTGGGGCCGGCCCGGTGGCGCACTGGATAGTGCGCCGCTTGGGAAGCGCGGCAGCGCTCCCGTCCGAGGGTTCGGATCCCACGTACAGACCGGCTCCCGCTCACTGGCTGAGCGAGGCACGGGAGCAACGCCGAGGCTTGCGATCCCGTCGCCGGTCCCCGGTCCGGTACGGGGGCAACACTGAGGGTTGCAATCCGTTGCCGGACACGGACAAAAGACAAAAAGACAAAAAAAAAAAAAAAAAAAAAAAAAAAAAAAAAGGGCCCCCTTT